CACTCACAAATATTGAAGGCTCCGTCTGAAAATCTTCATCTTCATATTTGCTTGTTAAAACATTTGAATCGAGGATGAATCGTAAAAGAGTGATAATTCAAATCTATATTAAAACAATAAGAACCCTATTATTATTTTGACAAAGAAAACAATTGGAATTTGGACGTAATAATCTATTCATTAAATATAATATTCATAAAGATGATAGGTATTTTTTAATTGATTAGAGTATGTTCATGTAAAAGATACTATATAAACAGATGATACATGAAACACTGTATGCTCAGAATTACAATCTAATGTCAAGATAATAGAAATGTAAAAATTAAATAATAATAATAATAATAATAATAATTACAAGATGTAATCTTAAATAAGTCTCAAAGAAAAGAAAAGTGAATATAAAGATTCAAGCACGTAACTTAAGGTGTCTGCAGATTTTCTAGGTTGGAAGTCAGTCAACAACGCCAAAGAAACCTTTACATATTATATAGATCATTCACTTCTAAGGAACGCGATAAATTTCTAGCTCATGCAAGTGTCTCCTCTGAGTATCGTGGCATTGTTAATCTTAAACAAAGAGTTGATCGTAAAAAAAATGAATTTTAAAGATAATTTCATTAATAAAAATTGAATTGATACTATAAGGACTAGTATATTTCAGCATTTAACACAAGGATTAAATATATATATACACACACACATCCATTAACCTTAGCTTACAATAACTTTCCTTAATCTACTCAGGCAAAAAAAGAGAAAAGAAAAGAAAAGAAAAAAGAGGTTACATCCATTAATGTTAACTAAGATTAACTTCAATTTTAAAGGGTTGGTGTTGTAGTTAAGAAAGTTTGTTCTCTTTTTTTTTTTTATTATTATTATTTGGATTCAAACCTTATGATTAGCATGAGAAATTTATTAAATTTATGTGAATACATCGCATTAAGATCATATAAAGAGAGATTTAGTCTTAGTACACATGACGCATTTACTAGTTGGTTAACGAATGGAGTTCAAGCGAGCGGCGCCGATTACGAGGGCTTTGGAGTGGAGCTCCCAAAAAGTTCTACGGAATATTAGATCGAGTGCAATGCTTATTATGTCATTTTTATTATAACCATAGTTGTCCGCATTATAAATAGAGACAGCATCACTTGCATTTGTAATCTACTATTTGATTAAAAAAAACCTAATAAGAAATCCTAATTCAATGACGGAATAGACACAATTGTCGAACTACGTAAATTTATGTGTTGTGTGATTGTTTTTATCTTTCTACTCTATTTTTTTATTTATTTCCTAACTCGACTTGATTCAAAGATATCCTTAATGTTTAACCCAAAAAAATAAAAAAATAAAAAAACTAAAATTAACTTTTATTATTTACTACCTCATCGGAAAGTTTCACTAAACTTTCGGTAACCTAAATGAAGAGAATATTTCCTGTATGGAAGATTATTATTTTTCATTATTGTAAAAGATTTTGTCTAATTTTTTCAATGTAACAATTTTCAATTTACTTTTTAGTTTTTGGTATAATTGTGTTATGAAAATGGTGATATATTTATTTAAATTATATTATCAATAAAATAACTATCTTTATATATACACATTTATTAACTTTCCTTAATTTAATATGGCAAATAAGGATGTCAATGGATTAGATCTCGATCCAAATTCAATTTAGTTAATGGATCCAATGAGTAACATTTTTTTTTTTAATCTAAGTCAGATTGTGATTTGAAGCTGTTAATCCACTTATTATAAGAATCAAATATGAATTCATTTCGATTTGATTCTATAATAACCAAATCCAAAATTAAAAATAAAATTTATTTTTAATAAATATAATATTATAAGACTAGATTAAAATTTACGGTTTGCTTAAAAATAATAAAATTATTTTTAATATTAAAAAAATATTAAAAAACCTATATTGTTAAGAAATCGATGAGGATCAGATAAAAAGAATAGGTTAAGAAAAGGTGATATTAATACTTATTTAGTTATGTCATATTATTAATATTGGTTAAGTAAAATGTATGGATAAATTGTTATGAAGTAACTTATAAATATATGATAATATTAATTTTTTTTTTTTAATTTGTGACGCTATTGTCTTAGAATTTGAATCAACAAATATTCATTTTACTGCCATATGGATGAGGAATTAAAATTATTTATTATTGTTTTCTTTTAGTTTTATTATACTTCCTATCTAGTTCAAGAAAAATTATTTGATTTTGTATTTTTGAATTATGTAGTATGAATGTTTTACAAATTGATAGATGAAATAGTATATAATATTTTTTCCATATATATATATATGTAATGAAATATGTTTTATATTCAAGCAATATATTATATATAGGAAGTATAATTTTTTTACAAAAATCAAATGATGAAATCGATTAAGTTCTGAACTTGTTAGGATCCGAATTCAGATTTAAATTTTCAAATTTCAATTCGAATTCATAAAATTCAATTCATTAACTAAATGAAATTTAAATCTACTATGATTCGACTTATTAATCACCTTAATTGCAAAATATCACTAGGAGATGCTGCCAAAAGTGGCATTAGCACTGGACGTTTAGGCTCAAAATTAACGAAAGGAACGTTCATTCAAGGCAAAAGGTGTCTAATAAGCTAATTGATTTGAATTTAGGAATAAAAAATTCAAGAGATCATCATTCTTTTGACCTCTCCCTATAAACAAAAAAACTCCTCCTTTCGGTTTTTCATCTCCGTCAAGGGGCTGCCACTGGCTATATCTTGGCCGGTGGCCGGTCCCTCCTTCTTATTTTATATTTTATTATAATTTCCTTTACCTTTTTTTTTCTCAATGTTTTCCTAGTAATTTCAGACTATGTAGATATGATGGTTCTAGTTATCTAAATAATTATAGATTTTAATCTAGACGGTCTACAATTTGTAATTTGTTTTGATTTGTGGTTCTCAACACGTGAGGCTTTTTATTGTTAAATTATGTTGATTACAATTTCATTTTAAGATTTATGGTGCATCAAAACTTAGATTTATAATGTTGAGTGAATTTCAAATAATATAATTATCATATTTGTCAATAAAAATAAATGTCAGCACATTATAGTAAATTTGTTTCTTTCATCAATAGGATGTGGTAGTACGACATGTTCCTCATTAGTAAAAAAATGGTAGGAGATTCCTGAATTTGAAACACATAAAAAAGTTATTTTGTAAACAGTCAATAAAGGATAAACTTAGAAAACTCATATGAAAGTTCATAAATTATAAAAAACGAGATGCTATTTGAAATGTCAATTGTTTTTGTGTTGGTGAACAAATCTTTTTTCATTTAATTAGAATCCATTATAATCCTTGTCATTTTTATTTGAATCTTATAAAAATTGTAATAATTATCTATTATTTGTATTATTAATAACATCATATTTTCTTCTAAAAAGATCAAGAGATCATCATATCCCAAATAATTTGAAATTAACTTAAGATATACTTCTAAAAAAGGAAACCCATTTATTTATCCAAAGAAAAGAGGTGAATTCCTTGTTCTGTTTTTGGATGAAAATTCATGCCATTTTGGGGGAAAAAAAAAAATCCTATCACCATTTTTTTCATTCAATCAAGTCAGCAAAATTAACCAAAAAAAAAAAAATCTAATATGGTAGGGAAATATAACCAAATAAGAAGGTAGAAATATGAACAACTAAATTTTGGTATTGAAAAAACTTTAACTAATTTTTTTATAAGAATATATAGGAAATGAATTTAGAATAAAATGATAATAACATTATAGGTTAGAAATATAAATGCAACTCATTAATTTTACTGTTTGTTAAAATTAAATAGTTTACATAATAAAAGGAATTATTATTAGACTTGTGAGATGGTAAAAGAAGTCTGGAAATAAAAAGTTCAGAGAAGCCGATTGAAAATAAAGAATTTATTTTTTGGACTTGTGAGAATTTATTCTTACTGACCTTTGCTTTTGATTTTGCCACATTTCAGATCCTCGGTGCATCAAACGGCGGTGCCAACCCTTGGGCTGTCGGTGAGAGACAGAGAATCATAAGCTCGTGCGGCGTGCGTCCCTGTCAAGAATTTATGCCTCCATGGTACCGCCACGTGTCTGGCTTTATAGTGTCGCCGGGAACGAGTTTCTTATCTCCGTTGCTAGATTTTCTACTCTCTTTATTATTCTTAAAATAATAATAATAATAATAATGAATTGATGGGCAGAAATCTTGATCCAACCAACTCGTAAAAATCATATCAAATCGAACACCATCCATTTATCATCTGTGACAAATTACAAGTTAGTCTCATTTCATAAATGTTGATCAATAATGGACCCTTTGAAAGAAAAAAAAGAAAAAAAAACCAATTTTATTCTCTATCAACTTTCTAATACTGCAAGTTCCTCCAAAATTTCCTTACTTATTCAGGAAAAAAATATTTTCCTACAACATTTTCTTATAATATAAAAATACTCGTTGGCTAACCAACTAAGCCTCAAAAAAATACTTTGAAACATAATATAAATCAATAATTGATTGCTCAAGTCTTTCTACCAATTTAAATTTAAGTTTAATTGATTTTTTATTACTGGTGTCGTCAACTAAATTACATGTAGAATTCAAATCAAGGTTGACCCAACTGAAAAGCGAAGTTAAGAGTAGAAAGAAGTACGGCCTCTTTCTAAGTAGCATCATATCAGCACTTCTTTCTCTCTCCTCGCCGAAGCACAACATTGCAGCAGCAGCAGCAGAAGAATCCTTTTTAAACACTGCCAACCGTTCTGCTATTTATCTTTTCTTTTGTTTTCTATTAGTTATTATATAAATATTAGAATTTGTTACTACATTTATCGAAAGAACACAAGAATAATTTGATTTCAAACAGTTTTCGTTCGGAAATAGAATTATTAAATTAGATATGACATTTTGATTTTTCATTCTCAGCAGCATTTCTTTCTTTCTTTATTTTTTGTGTTATTTTCCATGGATTCTAAAAGACTTGCATTGCCAGACCAGCTTCTTGCACCCAGAAGAAAGTCTTTTTTGTTGTGGGTTGGTGCTTCTCTTATTATGCTCTCACTCCTTTTTCTTGCTACTCCTTTTAAGGGTCGGATTGTGACCCCTTTCGTTCAAGGCTTCAATAGTGTTACTCTTAATTCTTCTCTTGTTTCATGGCCTTTCTCTCATTTTCCCTCTTCTAGAAATAGCACTACCAGTTCCCCTACTAATGTGGGAGTAGTGGTTTTAGAGAAAACCCATGTTGGCAATTTCTCTGAGATTAGACAAAATGGAAGCTTTGGTTATGAACAAGCACCTGCTTTACCAAAATCCCTTGAAGGAAGAAGTGGAAATTTCACAGATTCTGGCGGGGATGGGAGGGCTTTCGAGAGGCCCCATTTGGGTATTGGTGAAATTGGGAATGCTAGCCTTTCTAGCATTGTGGATGATGCAGATGCAAAGAGAAGCACGGAAGGAAAATCTGTTGAAAATTTTATTGCAGAAAATAAAAACGAGGGAAATGAAGAAATCGGTAAATTCCCTGGTGGTGGAGGAGAACAAGGGGAAGATAACACAGTGTCTTTTGAGAAATGTGACATATTTGATGGTAAGTGGGTGAGGGATGATTCGAAACCCTACTATCCTCCAGGCTCTTGTCCTTATGTCGATAAGGATTTTGATTGCCACCTTAACGGGAGGCCAGATGATGGATTTGTTAAATGGAAATGGCAGCCAAATGGCTGTGACATTCCAAGGTATGTTCTATCTCAAATTCAATTCAATGCATGTTGTTTTTGTTAATGTAGTGAAAAAAAAAAGGAGGTAAAATCACCACAGATCACTTTCTGTTGGTAGTGAAAGGTGGTTAGAAAGCTTGATTGATTGCAAAAACTCTGGAAATCATGGAAAACTTTATGTGATTATACATCTATTGTTTAGTTATTCAAAGAATCAAATCATCCTGCCTGGGCTCGATTATCAATTAAAACTTTTGAGTTTCAAAATAAAGAATAGTAGGTTCAATTTGTTGGGGCTATTCTGTACATTTGGCTTATAGTTTACATGAATGATTCAACCGAGAAAATGAAAAAAGAAGTAAAAGAAAGGAAGGAATCAAGTAGCAGGTTCATTGCATTTTTAAATAGCTCTCCGTTAACTTACCTATGAATACAGTAATGGTTGTTGTGTAAGGATTTGTTTAATCTTAGATTCTAGACTGATATGGCCAAATTTGAAATTCAGTCATTCTCTAATGTGTGAACTTTGTATTTTTGGATATAAATTGTCTTTTCTTATTTCATTTTTTATTACTGACTCTGTCCAGTTTGAATGCAACTGATTTTCTTGAGAGATTAAGAGGAAAGAAGCTGGTTTTTGTTGGGGATTCACTTAATAGGAATATGTGGGAGTCTCTCGTGTGCATCCTTCGCAATAGCATCAGAAAGAAGAAAAGAGTTTATGAGATATCAGGGAGGAGGGAATTCAAAAAGAAGGGTTTCTATTCTTTTAGATTTGAGGCAAGTTTTTCATTTTGAAAAAAACAAAAAAAAATCAAGTTTCTTGCGTATTTTTCAGTAATGTTTGGTAGAATTTTTTATCAGGTTAATTCCACATGTTCCACTGAGCACATTTTGAGTGCGTTTTGAGAAAATGCTCATTCATTGTGTATCTTTCTGATAGACCATGTTTTGCTTTGATTGTAGGATTACAAATGTACAGTGGATTTTGTTAGTTCTCCATTTCTTGTCAGAGAATCATCCTTCAAAAGTAGAAATGGAACACTGGAGACCTTAAGGTTGGATTTGATGGATCAGACAACTTCGATGTACCACGATGCTGATGTCTTAGTTTTTAATACAGGTCACTGGTGGACCCATGAGAAAACTTCGAGAGGGTGATTACAAATTGCTTATTTTGTTAAATACTCTTGCCTTCATGTTGTTTAGACTTTAAACCGTGGATTTTGAAAATTCTGAACGGAACTTTGGTATTCTGTGCATAACAAACAAACTGCCATTTGCATGCTTTATGCGAAGTGCATTTTCGATCAAGGAATTAACCTCTTTGCATGTTGCATTTTGCACTTTATTATTTCGCAGAGAAGACTATTACCAGGAAGGTAATTATGTACATCAAAGACTCAAGGTCCTGGAAGCATATAAGAGGGCGCTTTTGACTTGGGCAAGATGGATCGACAAGAACATCGATAGCAATCGAACTATGGTTTTCTTCAGAGGTTATTCAGTTACTCATTTCAGGTACAGAACTGTTTTGTGCCCTTTATTTAGCTTCTAGTTATTACCTTTTCTTTTGTGTTTCTTGATCCATTGTTCTAGTTATGACTAGCACCGTGTTTGCTTGCTTGCTTCATTGCCATAGTTTTATATTCTTGCCTTCTTAGCTGTTGCTTGCTGTTACTTTCATATCCTAACCTGCTTCTTTGTGGAAAAGCTTGCCTTTATTTCTCCATCAATTACATGAATCGAGTAATAGAATATCCTAATTTGATGTTGTGAGATTTATTTACTAAAGAGATACTACTGCAAGGCATCCCAAGGCTGGAGGCACAGATTGGTTATAATTGTTTTCAGTCTAGGGGGGAACATAGTGAGATGGATGTGCTAGGGTTTGAGGTTGCGAGTTTCTAATCTAGTTAGATTTGTTCAAAGTGGTTGAATCTTCCTTTCTGTTGGTGCACGAGATTCATATAAGCTGCTAATGTTCTTTCTTTAGTCTGCTATCTCATTTGTGTTACTTCTGTTTGCTGCTAATATATTTAAAAAGTAACAGAATTGTTCTAACTTGTCGAAAAAAAAAAAAGAAAATTTCTTGTAATCTCTAAGAGCGGAAAAGGGGATATAAAAAAACGATTAGTTATTGGAATTTCCTTTTGCTGATTGGAAAATAATTAATGTCTCATCCCCAGGTTTTACCTTCATCCAGAAGGTCCATAGGTAATGTTTAATGGCAAATTAAAAGGGTGATTTCGTATATAATTCCTTTGTCCATGCAACCTGTTTAAAAGTTTCTGATGTGTTATGTTGTTGCAGAGGAGGCCTATGGAGTTCAGGAGGTCAGTGCCACAAAGAAACAGAGCCGATATTTAACACAAGTTACTTGGGAAAGTACCCTTCGAAAATGAGAGCTTTACAACATGTGCTTCAAGAAATCAAAACGCCAATCGTATATCTAAACATAAGTAGGCTCACAGCCTATAGAAAAGATGCGCATCCTTCGATTTATAGAATGGCATACAAAACAGCAGAAGAACGAACAGCTGCTGAGCGATCTCAAGATTGCAGTCATTGGTGCTTACCTGGAGTGCCAGATACTTGGAACGAGTTGCTATATGCTTCAATGTTGAAGGTCGGCCTGGGATCTTGGAAAAAGTGAATAAGGTTGTGCAGAAACCTTGTGTCAGACTATAACTTTGTATTTTTCAGATCATTCCTTGATAACCTATGTTGTAAGTTTTACGATCAGGCTTAGAATAGCATGTTGATGTCGAGCGGGAAACAGAGTCGTAAATCTCCATGTACATTTTAGTCGTCACATTACAAGCAACGAAGATGCAAGTTCTCTTTAGTCCCATTTATTAGGGGAAATTATCAATTTTGCTCTCATGAGATTTGATCATTTACAAGTAATATATGACCGAGCTGGAAAGCATGAAGTTGGAAGGACTTAAATTGGAAGCATATGTTCTGTTCTGTGGCTTTGCAATTAATTTTCAGGAATTGATTAGTATTAATTGAAACGTTCAAAACTTCCAATTTGAAATGCCGATGGCTTTAAAAATAACAAAAATAACCGGATTAATGTATTAAGAAATACCAAATGTGAAGGAGAGATGTGAACCAGTACTTCAGTACATAATAAACTGACTCACAGAGTACATTTGATAATCAGCAGCAAAAAAAGAACGCTCACCACAGTCTGGCTGAGGTACTTCTGCTTAGAATACAAACCTTTTTTATTTATTACATCCCATATTGCTACACTTTCCATTAACACAACAGAGAAAGGAAAACATTTAAGCCAAGGAAAGACCCGTGATCGAGCCCGTTGCCGTTCTGTGACTTGCCGGTTTGCCAGGCATGCATTAACCAAAGACTCTGCTAGCTAGCTTTTAGAGTAAAAGCTTCATTATGTAGTTAGCAAAGTCGAGAATGGCTAAGCACAAAGCAAACTGTTGAATTTTGGAGGAGGGTGAGGAATCCCTCACTCCAAAGCCCCCCATCGCTTTTTAAGGCCCTTGGATGGATGGATATTCTTGGCAGTAGACTTCCATACCTATCAGATTCAAGCAGCTGATAGGTTGGTTTTAACGACAATCCAATGAGCTAGCTCTTATAAAAGCTAGTGGGGAAGTTCCTCCGTTGCTATATCGAGTTTAAATAGGGTGATGATTGAGAAGTGGTGATCCAGAAGTATAGGATTCATTTCTGGATAAAAATCATAATCTATTCTTTATTTTCTAAACTTTTCCTAGAAAATTCCACCATTAAAAGCTATGGTGGAAAAAGTTCCTAATAATCATTAGCTAGATGACTATCATACCCTTCCTTCCCCTATTGTTTTGTCTCTCTCTCTCTCTCTCTCTCGAGTTCAGATATACTACTAGCTAATTAACCTCAAATCCTAATTACTAATTCTTAATTTAAACTGTCTTCTGGATTTTGCTTAGCCACACACAACTGCTTGTGAACTGTGATCAATGCTTAGGTTAATACGGCTAAGTTAGGGGTAGGGCTAGCTAAATCATTAAGCCATCGATCGGTATTAATTAGTATCATCCATAAATTAAGAAACTAAGATTATCTTTTGAAAGTTTAGCCACGGATGTATAGAAGGATACTGATGTCAATGCAATAAAAGATGAGCAGCCGGACAACTTTTTCTCGGTGCATCACTTTTCGTTATTGGACTCTTCTAACTTTCCATGTTGTATCAGTGGCTCCACTAACTCCGTGCTCATCTACATACTTTTCCATCTCTAACTTCTCCTAATTGTCCACTAATCCCATTCTTAGTGGCAGTCGTTAGCCATTCACAGCTTGTTGACTCACACCAAAAAAACCAACGAGCCAACCAGCATCCGACAACATCAAGCTAGCTAACATGGCAAAACCCTGCAAATTAAGAGCCCTAGCTAGCAAACTTACATGCCAAGGCATGTCGTAGCTAACCCAGTCCGAAACCGAAAGGGTCCTATGTTTGCTCAAGACTTTATGATCTCAAGCCGGTTTTCACAGTGTTCCCGTAATCTGCTGGAAACGACACCTGCATGGACAACCATCTTTTATGATGCGGTAAGTGCAGCATGAGCATTTACTACTTGATCGTGGTTTATTTATTTTTATTTTTTTTCCTTAGAAATTTTTTTTTTTGTTTTTTGAGGTACGATGACAAACCTAAACTTCCTATAAGATGGTACATCCTGCTTTAGAGGTTTTTTTTTCACCTATTTCAAATTTAAAAAAATTTATAACAAAAAATAAAAAGATGTTGGATGGTCCAGCTTCTAAATTTGAATTTGTATGAATTTGCTTATAAATTTAGAAAATAATGTTGCAAACTTAACGATGTTTCAAGTTTAAAAAAACTTTCATTCACTAATAACAAAAAATGTTTACATATTAAAACTATTCTTCTAGATATAATATTTTCGTAATAATTTAATTCTAAAAGATTCTATGCACAAGTTGTGGACGTAAAATAAAATAAAAATAGCCAAATTATTAGTATATAAAGAGTGATATTTAAAATATTTGTAAATTATAAGTTAAATTTATTTTTATGTTGTGTGATTGTATTTTTTTCTCTCTACAGCTTGTATTTGTAGGTTTTTTGTTTCTCCATGATTTTGCAATGTCTCATATTCTTTTGTAACCATCTATTCTATTTTCTAATTGTTAGAAAAATTATCTTTTATGTTTTTTTATAGCTATTTTGCTTAATGAAAAATGACATGATTAGTAAGTTTTATTTATTTATTTATGCAAATCAGCCAAATCAACTAATAGTATGTAAAATCAAATTACTAGATTTTTGAACTTAGTCTGAGTTTTAGATATAACACATCACAACACTTAGAGAGATTTTTATTGTTCTTATCTTTATCGCACTTGTATCGAGATCAAAATTTAGTGATAAATAAAACTTACAATACAAAAAGGATAATTAAAACAAAAGTTTGAAGATAGTTAATGTATACTTCAGAAAAAAATTGATATAAAGGTCCTCTCTTTTCTGCTTTCCTGGCTCATTTCTTAATGTTTTGATCAACTTAATTCCCTCTAATTAGTTAAGGATGAAACCAGAATTGCAATGTTGGGAGAGCTAGAATGTATAATTTTGATTACAAAAAGGTCATTTTGTAGCAATAACTTGAAAATTTTAAAATTCAAGAGGGGTTTTGAAACAATTTAAAACTTTTGGGGGCTTGGCAAGGCCTCCCTAGGCTAACCCCCTAGAGTCGTGCGACCTGCCTCTAATGGGTCTCATATTGTTAAAAAAACAGTGATCTCCTCCTCAGAAATGCACCCAATAATAATCACAGTTGGACTATCCACCCATGCTTGTTCTTTAATGCAAACAAACAAACTAGTACTGCTTGTCGTGTTTGTTTGATTAGGGAATCTCACTTTTCCCATTTCATCATTGTTTCTTTAGCTTTTATGCAAAGTCGGCGATACCAAATACTACAAGTTTTGCGTCTCTCGACCATGATGATCAATATATCTAGGTCTAATAGTATCGCAAAGGGTAGACACCACTTTTGGTAAGGTGGGGAATAGTAATTCATATGAGGGCATGAAACGGCAATGAAAGCCTCAATAATTTAAGGCTCATTGCTGAGTAACTCTTAAATATTGGAAAAGGACAGTCTAATATTTGTCATATACGCAGTTCAGTTTTTTAAATTATAATCACGATTTGTAGTTGTCACAAACGTAATCATTGTTATCATCATCTACTTTCAGTTGGTCATGTGATAATCTCGATAATTAATACCCACTTTGAATTTTGTATCACATGTGAATCAAGTTGCAGGTTGCATGTCACCAAAGAAAAGTAGTGCTTTTGAATTGAATCGCCAAAAGATTGTTGTAAGAACAAAAAATCTTCATATATGGATAGGAGGAAGGATCCATGGAGGGAAGAATCGACGTGGGAAAGTGACTAGAGAGGAGAAAGACCACTCATTAAGTTGTACAGCAAACAAAAATGAAAAATAGATGTAAATCAATTCATTCAATTAGAAAGATTGAAAACCACGGTGAAAGAAAGATAATACACATTTGATATACTAGGTTAAATAAAGATAATAAATATTTGATATATTCGTATGATCGTTTATGCTCCACTTAAAAATTCTTTGGACAAGAATTCATCTGAAATAGAATAGTCTCTCACTCAATTAACTTATTAGACAAAAAAACTATATATATTTAATGAATACATAATTTCATATGATGTTTATGTCGCATCATCACCAACTATGATTGTATATATATCATTGGACAATGATCATCTTTCAAAAGGACCCTATACCTTCAAATAGATATTAGAAGTTATTGAATACAAAAAAAAGAGACCAATCTTTCTTACCCCCATGCAAGTTAATCATATCTCCACTTATATATAGGTTAACAAACCAAATAACATAGGTTTTTTCTTTGAAACTCAAAATAATTATATTATCAATTATCTCTTATATATAAGAGAAAAATATCTTTATACGTATTCAAGCCAAACACATTTCTTCATAAACTAATTTAGCCATTAGAGGGTTTTTCAAATACTAGAGAAGGACTTGTTTTGTAGGTGCTCTCCATTGAACCAATGTCCATTAAGCTATCTCCATCACACAATCGGTCTAGGTTGAAAACCATGTCATCAACAATCATAATATAAAAATTGTTACCTCGTTAGCTATGTCGTATGTGGAAAACTATTTAAAAAACTAGTTTCTCAACTTTCCATAATTCCAAGGTCTTTTACTTCTCCATTATCGAGCTTCTTTGTGGTTGACAATCGGAAAACTCGACTTGTTTCACTTTATTCGATTTTGCGAGTCCCACCATTTTTCTAGTCAACATTCTCCACCACCAACTATGATCGTATATATATTGTTGGACAATGATCATCTTTCAAAAGGACCCTACACCTTCAAATAGATGTTAGAAGCTATTGAATACAAAGAAAGAGACCAATATTTCTTAACCTCATATAAGTTAATCATATCTCAACTCATATAAAGGTTAATAAACCAAATAACATAGGTTTTGTCTTCTAAACTCAAAATAATTATATTATCGATTATCTCCTATATATAAGAGAAAAATATCTTTATAGCGTATTCAAGCCAAACACATTTCTTCATAAAC